CAAACCAGCATGTTCATATTGGTTTGTTATTAGACTACATGCATCAGGGCTCCTCGTACTTCAAAAATGATTCAGAAAAAGCGCTTTGGACTTCCTCTGAGCGTCGCACCTCTCTACTATTCATGAAAACTGTCCGCTTTAAAGCTTGAAAAAAGATGATGGTGCTTTAGAGAGCCAACTCTTAAGGCAACTTTAAAGTAGCTGCATCTTTTTTCCCCCCAGTCTCACATAGAAGCTGTTAGGTGGGAAGATCACTTCACAATCTCAAAACAAAGACTCTTTTGGAAGGGAAAACTTCAGATTCTACTTTATTTAGAATTGGCATTCTAGAAAAATGCATGGAGTCCATGGTTGGAGAGCCTCCTCCAAGCGTTTTTTTCTGGTATCCTTATACTCAGTGAGGCAGAAGTGTGGTAGTAGCTTCTCTCTTATCTACTGCTCCTCTGCAAGCATTCACATTCATACATGGACAGAAGCATTCTGTCCTTTTTTTCATTCTTTTTCTATCTAGTTATAACTTATCTTCTTCTACTTTTCTTCTTTTCCCTTTCTCCTTCTTGCCCTTTCCCTGGCCCGTCCATCCCTCCCTTCCTTCTCCTTTACTATTTCTGTTGGAAAAAGGGAAAGGGAAAAATGGGAGCCTGTGTACTTGTTTGAATATACCACTGTTCTCCTGCAAGTAGTTTGTATTTGGAGACAAGATGCTCCCAATAGAAGTAATACTGAATCTTGATAGATCAGTCCTCCATGAATTTGTCTAATCCCTTTTTAAAGACACCTAAGTTATGGTGATCATGTCTTGTGATAATAAATTCCATAGATTAGTTAGGCATTGTGCAAAGTTCATTTTAAATTATCTTCCAATCACCTTCAATGGATGGTCTCTAGTCCTTCTTCCTGTCCACCTTCTCCATGGCATGGATGATTTTATACACCTAAATAATTTCTCTCCTTATTCATCTTTTTTCCAAAGCTATAGAGTCCCCAAAATTCTAGACTTTTCTAGGAAGGAGGCTCTTCGGGCCACCTGTTCATTTTGATTGCCTTTGACTTCACTTCTTCTAGCCTTAATATATCCTTTTTCAAATGTGGTGGCCAGAACTGTATACAGTACTCTAGACATGGAAATACCACAGATTTGTAGAATAATATTGGTGCTTTTATTTACAGTCCCCTTTTTAATGATTCCTAATGTACAACTTTCCTTTTTCACAGCTGCCACAAATGAGCTATTTACTATAAAACCAATATCTTTTTTCTGATTACTTACAGATAGTTCAAAGTACACCAATGTGTATATGAAGCTGGACATTTTGTCTAAAATGCATCACTTTGCCCTTATTTGATTTGCTTTTGCCATTTGGTTGATCAGTCACCTGATTTAAAGAAATTCTTTTGGAGCTCTTGATAGTCGCTTTTGTTTTTTAACCATTCTCAGTGGTTTAATATCATTTGTAAACTTGGCCAGTTCACTGCTTATTCCTAAATCAAGATAATTTATGAACAAGTTAAGCAGCACTTATTCCAAAACAGATCCTTGAGGGACTCCTCTTCTTACTTCCCTCTACTAAGAATATTGTCCATTTATTCCTCCTCTTTGCTTTTGAGTTTTGGACCAGTTAGCAGTCCATAAAAGGACAAGTCCTCTTACCCCACGACCAATAAGTTTACTTTCTTAGTAGTTTGGATGTGTACATGCAGGTACAGGCTCAATTAATTTTGCATTCGGAGTATGATTTGATTAACCCCTATGAGTTGCAACCCGACTTATAAAATCTTACTGCAGGCAAAGTTTTCTGACTGTACATATTAGGCCACATATTATTCTAAATTTCAGCTGAATAGTATTTATGCAAGAATGAGATTCTGGATATAATCGAAGTATAAGAGTTCAGTCTTTCTCCTTCACTTGTCTACTTTGGGAAAAAAATGATGCACACAATCTAGGTCCCCATCAGATTAAAAGTTCTGCTGACAAAATCCACTTTTTTGATGTTGTTTATTTGATTAATGCCCAAATATATACATATATATAAGCAACAGTCTGAAAATTATATTAGAGAGCCATACTAGAGTCCTTTTATATTTTTTTGTACTTGTGGGAAATTCCAGCAATTTTTCTGATTAAAACTCTGTGTGTTTCTTGCATTGGAATATCATATGCGACATACAATTTAGTTTAAACTTGACTTTTAAAAGTTAACTAATGTAAGCTAAACTTGGCTGTAATTTTATACTGACCTTCAAAATTGTTCGGCCATCAAATGATTCCCTTTCTTTGAAAGATTTGCTCGTGCCTCGGTTATTTGGTTCTTCAGCTGCAAAATAAATGGGATTCCAACTCAAACTGAGTCAATGCCCCCCCAATTTTTTTATGCAGGAAGATGATTCTGAATTTGTTTTTATTCATTTGCCATAACAGCATTTTAAACAAGACAAAAAATTATTTCCAAAAGTATGTTGTCAGAATGTTGAGTCATCAATATTGTTTTGAGGATTATTCAGGGCTGACAGCTTAGTGTAATAGAATCATCGAGGAGAAGCCAGAGTTTAAGATTCAGTGCTCTGTCAAAGCATGTTTCAGTAGTAAAGCATTCTCTCATTTTGTTTCCAAGTCCAGCATTGAAGAGCTGATCATTCTGCAGACCACAAATTTAAAACCACTGAGAAAAATTGGGTACTTGGGCAATGCATCCTTGTTCTCAAGGTACCTCTAATTTCTCAAAGCTGGGAACAAACAAAAGAAGATGAATGGCTCCTTATACCAAAGGTTATTTTTACTCTGTCCAATTGCAGATACTCCTTGCAAACATACAACTACCAATTTGGTTTTGAGAATCTCAGGTTTCGTGAAGCATATTGAGAGCTTCGTATTTCCTTTTTGAAAAGCAAGTTTCTAGTTGTCATGATAGAAAGAATTTGTTCCACTGAGTAACAAATGTTCATAAACATGGGAACATCACATGCCGCTTATTAATCAGGGAGTCAGTTCTTTAGCTCAACCTTTTGCTCCTTCTGCAAGTCTATTATTTCTACTATACTGATGCTATTGGCCTAGAATCTCTAATCTTCAGAAGATCTCATTTAACTCTATTTGAAGGACAACCTTTCATGGCTTCTGCCTGTCCTATAAGCATGTCCTGGGTCCCTCTATCAAACAATCTCATCTTAGAGCACCCAAATGGTGTGCCTTCTTTGTCACGGTGCCTGCCCTCTGGAACAGCAACCCACCCACCCCCAAATCCTGATGGATCCAACCCTGCTTTCCTTCAAATGAGCTTTGAAGCCTTGGCTTTTTCCCCAGGTCTTGAGCTAGGGCAGGATGTGTATCCACACCCTGGTGTGTTTGGTGTATTTATACCATACATTTGTTCTCCCCGTTATGGCCAACTTTTATTTTATCCTTGGTTTCTTAACATATTGTATTGTGTGTTGTTAACTTTCTACACCACCCAGAGCCAGCAATGGGTTGGGTGGCCATAGAAATCTAATTTATAAATATAAAATAAATGCATCTACATTGTAAATGTATTTTTTTTAAATTATATTTAAAAAAGGCTGAAAAGGCACACTGGAAATAGATCAACAAACTTGCACATCATTCTACTCTTGTCACTCTTTGAAAATCTCAATGTGAGCATGAAAAATAAAATATGATCAATAGTCCTTAAGGTAGTTGCGTAAAAAACTTAGCCAATAACCTATGCAAATTGTGTAGGCAGGATAGGCAAAACTGTGGTGAGACAGGAACTTTTTCCATTTTATTTGCAAGGCCATATTTCAACAGACTGCTCCTATAACTGCCAGTGTGTTCAATAAGCTTATTTCCAGGCATATACAGGGCTACAGCTAAGTGTGTGATTACACACACACACACACACACACACACACACATCTAACCCTTAGTCATGTTTTCAAGTAGATATGGTAAACAGATTATTAGTTGACCATAGCATGGTAGTTCTTTTGCACAACTTCAGGAGATGTCCTTTTATAGCCATACACACCAGTTTGCCCTAAGCCCTGCATTGGAATTAATAGTTGCTATTTTTAGAATATGAACAAACAGCTATTCATATTCTGCTTACTAAATAAGCTTTTAAAAACAGCTTTAAAAATTAAAAAGAAACTACAGCTTGATAATACTAAGCACATTTGGATGGAAAAGCAGACTCAACAGTAACCTAAATCCAAATAACATTAATCAAATCTATCTTTTAAAAGATAGGATACAATCTTGATTAAAAAGCAATACAAAATCATAGCTTCTCTCAGACATAAGAGGATAATGAGGGAACCAAACATCTGCTGGATAAAAAAGGTGTTGAACATTTCAGTGAAGGATTCTTCCTCTCCTATTTCAGATGAGGCCAACTTTAATAAAGGGATCCATCCTTAAGCAGGGGATGAACCCATTATCTCCAGCCTAAAGGCCATGAAATAATAATAAATGAGCAATAGCCAACCTCAGCACCCTCACAGCAAACTCAGGGATCAAAGCAGCTGTTATATTTCTCAAAAGACCTTAACAGAGGCTCACCGCTAGGATCATTCCGAAAGACTGTATTCATAACAGTAGCATGGAGTTTCACCCTATCCCATTCTTTTTTCATCAGCCCAGAGGTCACAAACTGATCCATCAGTCTATCTGCTATGAGCTGAAGCCTAGGGAAAAGAAAAGGAAGTGAGGAAAAAGGCAAAGTGAGGCATTTTTCAATATCTGTATTCATGTAACAGGTACTTGAATGTTCATACCCTGGAGAAGAATTAAAACAATTGTTACCAAACAGTTGTAATCAAAACAACAAATGTTGCATTGGTGTCCTGTTACTTCTTCAAGATGGAAGGTTATGAGTGGAGAAAGCTGGGAGGAATCCAAAATGCTGGAAAAATGTTTCAACCACTGTGCTTAGAATACAAGTAAACCTAGATAACACATCCTTCACCGAAACAGAACAACAAAATTGCATTCTGAGGAGAAAGGGGAGGAGGGGGAAAAGCTGCAACTGAAAGCTCTTTGATAGACCATTAGAAATAGTCTGACATACAATTTTACTATGTGGAAAGCAGGAACTTGATAAAAATGCCTGTCTGACATAAGGAAAAGGCCTCTGAATGACAAGGTCTGCTTTATCCAGGCTCATGTTTCAGATTACTTATCCCTAACAAGACAAGGTTGATACCATATGGAGTTGGATAGTGCTAGTACTTTGCTTGTCCCTGACAACATGGTACCTTCTCCTACTTTTCTCTTATAGTGCAGGTGTCATCAAGGTGATGCAGAACAGAGAACTTTATTTAGATGCATTAACTCCGTACTGGCATTAAAGGGCTTCCTGATTAGGTTTTAGGATGTGATCCTGCTTCATAAACCCTCATGGAAGTCCATGCCATGTCATTTTCCATCCCACTCTTCTCTTTTTTTTTCAAATCAGAAAGCATCTTTTTAGGGAGAAAAAGGTGGCATAGCTACATTAAAATATTAATGGAGATCCCACTATTGCTAAATAGGATAGAGGAAATTAACTGTAATTCCTAGTCTGTTTTAGGAACAACAAATCTTTTTCCTTTCAGTTGCTACTCTTAACATTTTTGTTATTACCTTGGGTAGTGGATTACTAAAAAGAAGTTTAAAGATGGTATGATCAGATTACCAGATATTAAAAAAGATACTTTAAAGCAAAACAAGATTGAAATAAATATGTAAGTAAAAATTGACTTGCTTTGTATATGCTTGCTTAATTATTGTTACAAATAATGCAAGTAGGATAAAGAGTTTGTATCCTGGATAGGACTGTGCTAATCCCCATTTAAAGTAAAGCATGTATTACTGCTTTTCATAATGCTCTGTGGAATTTTCCACCCAATTTCTACACCAAAGCAGAATGATTTCCTTCTAACCTAATCTTCACCGCAGTTTATAATGTCTATCAAATGAAGTCAAGAGTTACATCAAATTCTTGTGAGAGGGGATCTGCTTCTTCACAGGAACAACTGATGTGTGTTCATTAAGATTTATTTGGCTGTCAACTAATGCCAGAGAGTCTCCTGTGCTGTTTCCTCAAAATTCTGGTCCAGCTACCTACCATAGGCTTCACCTATCTTCAAACAGGCTTCCCACTGGCCTCATGAATCTAACAGTGACTTCATCTCCTTTTTCCTGCCAGGACTTTATTTTCCTGCCTTACATTTTTTCTTTCCTTCAAATATTCTGCTAATCTGTCCTTTGTGAAGCTGTTGACCCCTCCAAGCCAACTCCTCTGATTAGCAACATATCTCTAGGAGGCAACTGCTTAACTGGCTCCTAACATGGCATTTCATTGGCCTTTAATCCTAATAAAGAGAAATGGTCTGTAATAAGCCCCTACATTTGGTAAAGTACCGCAGTGCCTCTGAAAGCACCGAGCAGGCCTAAATAGAAGAAATTAAGCTCCCCCCCCCCAAATATTTCCCATGTAAACCCGCTAATACAAAGACAGAACTGGGGAAAACCAGTCTGGCCCTTTATAATTCCAAGGGTTGTTAGGAAAGGGAACTTAACTCAGATTCTTTCTGAAACACTGTGTAGAGTCAGGACACAATGGATGGAGCATTGTCCTTGACTGGACAAAGCAACGGTCAGTCCACTCCTGAGACTGGCTTTCACTTATCCTCCCCACTCTAAGAATAAGAGTTTAGAGAAAAGGAGAAGAAAATGAGCAAGGAGACCATGCCTACAAACACCCAAACAGGAGGCCCAGATTACTTTTCTCCAACCATTCTCTCTGCAATGAATATGTGCTGAAATCCAAAAAGAGTGCTAAAAAGTAACCAGTACAGCAAGACCAAAAATTCTGATTTCATTTGGAAGTCTCTGCATGTTATTATGTTCCCTTGTTTGTCCAATACTCCCCTTTGTCTAATGAACTACTATCTATGTCCAGAGAATTGGCTTCATTGGTTTTAGATGGGAATTTCTCATTTAAACCTTCCTCATGTGCAAGACTGCAGTTTCATGCCTACATCTTGTATTTCATTAATGCAACAAGGTTTGTTAAGTTCTGCATTTCTGAGCATTGATGGAAAGATCCAAAGCACCTTTCCTTCTAGTTTCCCCAAAACTGGGCTGTAGGGAGCAATCTGGGGCAGAAGGCCTAAGAATTCCCAGCTGGACTGACTAAAGGTTGAATTCCTAGCAGTCAGAAGGTTCATACCTGATCACTGGCAACCTATCACATGTATGTTTTACTGGGGAATC